TCGGGGGTGGAGGCGTATAGATGTATCTCCGAAGTGAAGGAGGGTACGTTGCCACTGTGCTCCCTGGATTCCCTGCTGTCCACCTACCTGTACATGTAGGAGGGAAGGCCGACCACACCCCTCTCTGAGTGCACCTTGAGAACCGAGATCTTCTGCCGTCAGGGAGATAGGTGCCATTAGGACAGCGGTACTCCACCGTGGAGTTGAACTCGTATTGATCTTGGGTTTGTCTCAGTAGAATAGCTGAACCGCTTTCAGGTGGAGGGGGGCATTGTACCGCTGTAGGACAATTGAAAATGTAAACAAAAACTGTCTCCAATAAAGAAATGAAACTGATTATTATGAGAAGAAATTAATTACGTATTTATTTATTTAAAAATGCTCCTTCCCAAGCGATTTCATATCTAAGTATTTTGTACGAAATTAAAATTCCTTCATATTTCATGCAACGAGGAAATTGTTAAAATTATAAAAATGCTATTATTTTAAGTTTTTTTTTCATCCATTTGTTGAAAATATAACCGATTTCCATGTGTGTACCTGTGCAAGGCGAGACAGTGTGCCAGTGACTGCACATGACGTGCCGTTCATAGGTCCTATTTTCCTGAAACCAGAAGCCCACATCGCACCGAAAGATGGCGACCCGGTCGGTAGGAGCAGTTCCAATGTCACTGTCCACCAAGGTACCTTTCGTATGCGGTATAATTGGCGGTTCGTCACATAATGAGACTGAGGCACTCGAAGTAGATGTAAACGTCACATCAGTGGATGGTCCTGTCGTTGATTCTGGAATTATGGCAATAAACCCTGATTAGTACTATATTAAAGGCTCACAAATAAGGGGAGTTAGGCCCTAATGTAGGAACAATATTAATTCCCTTTCCTGGAAACTGTAGTTCATTTCCTTCATTACCTAAGTACCGCGGTATATCATATCCAAAATCAATAAAAAAAATACGATCGGAAAACCCCTTTGCGAGTTTTAAGTTTCTATATTATTATAATTATTATTATTATTATTAGAGCCTGCACTGTTGCCATGGCAAAGAGACTGATGGATATATCTCTTGACGATAGCAATTTAAAATACAAAGCTCAAAACAGGTTTTACATCGTTATTTTCTCGGTGAGAGATGATATTCTGTCTATAAATATCTAATTATTCATTTCATTCTTTTGTTATATGGAGGCCTATTGAATATCGCATGCCTTTAATTTAAAGGATTCGGTACCAGTTTCTTCATGACAAATAGATAACACAGAACCATTTCAGTTGATCTTATAACCTCATATCATTTGCAGATATGTGTATTTTATATAATGACTGATGCTTTCTAATTTCAATCTTAATTCAAAGCTTTCAAACAAACCTATCATACATGTACATGTGTATTGATGAAGGTTTACAGCCAACAAAATAAAATGTTCATCTTAGACATTTTATTGAAAAAAAGTACTTTTTCAGTAATGCTATCATTATTACAATGCATCATTGAAATCGGTATCATTTTGGCTTAAAAACTATTAAATCTGAACTGAAGCTTCTAAGAAAAATCACTGATAGGCCTAGGAATGTGAAGTAGTCAGCGATGTCATTAAATTGGCGTTAAGATAAAATGGTCACGGGTGCTCAGATAAAGGAACACCAGAATCTTACCTGAGCAAACCAAAGGGTCCCCTGACCAGTCGAGAGTCCATAGACAGGTGCGGTTCCAATCTCCACCAATTTTACCGTGCCCCTTAAGACACTCATAAGTTACCACAGTTCCTATTTCAAACACTGACGTCACATTGTAATGTGCGAAACTGTGTGTCGAATTAGCTCCTAGCTCTGGTAGGCCACATCCACCACACCTCATTGGATAGCCTGACCAGGTTAGATCAAACTGACAAGTGCGCATGTCGCTTCCATTCACTTTAACAAAGTTTTGGTCGCAGCTGTACGTGATGGTCTCATTTACACTATACATGTGCATTGGTTCTAACGCTGGACTGTAGGTGGCCCTGGTATCGGCATCATCTGGCGCACTGCACCCTGCGCACGTCGGCGTTCTCCCGGACCACGTGAGACTTTCCTGGCAATAGCGGGTCAGGTCTCCAAGTGTGTGCTGAAACCCTGCTTTGCAGGTGTAATTTACAGACTCCCCTATTCTGTATGTGTTCTTTTGTGGCATGATGACGGTCCTTCTTTTGTTGAACGGTGGTTTGCAACCGCCACATTGTAGAGGGGTTTCAGACCAAACTGCACGCTCCGCACAGTGAATGGTCTGATTGGTGGAGACAATGGGGCAAAATTCATTCTCATTATCATTTGACATATTGGTGCAAGAGCAATTTGGTCCCACAAAATCACTGCCCATTATGCAAGTTCGATTGCGGCTCCCATTTTTCGCCAGGAATCCTTCTTGACAAGTGTACTTGACGACCTGACCCAATGGGTAATATGGGCCTTCGCTCAGAGAGTAATTGGAAAGATACCCGATTTCGGGCAAGGTGCATCCTCGGCATTCAGGGGCGACGCCAGACCACGTTAGGGAATCAAGGCATGTGCGGTTCATATCTCCACTGAAGAAGAAGAAGCCATCAGTGCAACTATAGCGAACAGTTTCACCTACTCTAAAAACCGACCCCAAATCAAATGGTTTGGCAAGCGCACCGTTTTCTGGAGCATCGCATCCCTTACATGTTGGTGCTGTGCTATTCCAGTTAAGAGAAGGCATGCACGTGAAATTTAAAACCCCTTCCACCCAAACAAACCCATCAAGACACATGTACTCCACTACGTATCCGATTTCGTAGTGCGTGACGTTCAGGGCGCTGTACGTGGCCAATGTGCCATTCTCTGGGGGCGGACACCCGGCACATAGTAGTGAACCATTTCCGGTCCATTCTAAGTTAGAGCCACATGTTCGTGTTATTTCTCCCTGTATAGGAACATAAGAACCAATGCAAGAGTAAGAAATAATTTCGCTTAATTGATATTCTTCTTTGACTGGTTCGTATAAACTAAGCGACTGTGCATCATTGGCGGGTGGCGAGCAACCGGAACAGGACAAGGGTGTCCCGGACCAAGTCCGGTCGGCAAGGCAGGTGCGAATGGTGTCGCCATTGGTGGACAATAGACCTGGCAGGCACTGATAAGAGACGGTGTCTCCAACGGCAAAAGGATCGCCGTTATCGATGAGGTCGTGAATGGATTGGTTTCCATGCGGAGGGAAGGGACAGCCGCCACATCGAGGCTGCAAACCAGACCACGTCAAGTCGGTGAGACACGTGCGCGTGAGGTCGCCGGCCACGTGCACTAGTCGGCTGTTTGCGCATTCGTATGTCACTGTGTGGCCGACAGGGTAGGTGTATACAAACGACTGGTCTCTTACTAGAGTGGTGTAGTTTCTGTCAGAGATAGGGATTGGACAGCCACCGCAAACAGGCTCTAATCCTGACCAATTGAATGCCCCCATACACGTGCGCTCTAGGTCCCCCTCTACCAGCCCCTCTTCAGGCGATTCACAGGCATAGGCGACTGTAGTCCCCATATTGTATCTTGGGGAGAACGGATTGAAAGTGGCACGGTTGCCTGGTGGTGGAGGTAAACAACCTGGAATACAGAACTTTTCATTTCAGTGCCCTCCAGCAGGGTTCTCCTCAGGCATCTGTAGCTGCTACAAATTAAACGGGACGAATTTCGTCCAATTTTGTAACTTTTACAGGGGCACCTTCCCAATCCTATTTGGTTGGGTATAATGCAATCTCATCTCTTATTTACATGTATGTTTTAATATAATCCTATCAAAATTAGCTCATAAATTAATTTTTACTTTTTGCAATAAATCTACGAAAAGTAATTTCAAGATTTTAAGTGTTATTATTAGTTTATTTTTATACGCACAGGGACAAGATGTATAAGGTACTTCACAGACATAGGAGTACGACTTGCTACAGTCTTTGTCCCACCACACCCTCCGGCCCGAAACTTTGTGCAAACGAACACCTACACAGGATAAATGTTGGCGATACTGAAAAGAAATAAAGTAGTTAATACATGCAAGGGAACAGAACAAGGCATTATGTAAGTAAGATAAACTATCGTTTTATTTTATTGAAATATTATAAGGCCCGGTTTCGGATTTGGATAATTGATCAACGCCAAACGCGGACGTATTTTAGTCTATAGCTGAGGGTTTAAATTTGCCAAAAAGTGTCCATAGCACTAAGTCTATAACTACTTTGTTATATGATCACCAATATTAAATAAATGGAAACAATTTCAATCTTTTGATACAATTAAATTGAGGCCTTTATCTGTCTCATGCATGCAGTGTGCAATAGAATGCAAGTTTGGGGAGTGAGTTGACTGCAGTGGTATGTTTTTATGTTGTTTCAAATGTTGCTTCGTAAAAACTAGTATAACAGCAATGTTACTCATCATAACAGCAACAATCAGTATACTGACCTATTCAGACATCTCCCCCTCCCACCCCACACCGTTCTTGGTCTCTCTTGTTTTAATTGGTACTTACGGAATCAGCTTCCCCCCAGTTTTGGAAGCCCTCCGTGACGGAAGTGCCGTCCACCCACTGGAAATCGTCTTCGAATATCCCATTATTATTTAACCCGTACTCTTGAAGCCACTGCAGACCGATCCAGATATCATCACTGTTTTGAGGTCTGAATTCAGAATATAATCATCTGAGAACCAACGTGTTTTGAAGTCTGAATTTAGAAATAATCAGTCCACTAGAGATATCAATACACCAATCATATTGTGAGACCAGCAGTGTTTAATAGAAAGGAATGAATGTAGTTTTATATTGTGTTCATGAAATACGTTCTCGTTGCAAAGAAAAAGTATTACTCACAAGATACTTTCTATAAAATCACTGACTTCTTGAGTTTTTGGCATAGCTAGCGTAGCCCCCTCGGCAAGATTAGAGCATGCGTAACGTGCATCAGTATATTTCATGTTTTGAGAGAAGTACTTGAAACACTTCGGAATATTGTCCACAAATTTCCAAGCACACCCGCCTGAAAAATAAACGATATCAATTAGTTTATATCAATTAATTTATAAACCAAAGTGTGATATGAATAAAATTCCTGATTCTGCTTTATTGCAATAAGAAAAAAATAATAAACTGTATAAGGTGGCCAATCAGAGAAGTAAATGCTCTTTGCAGCGATAAATAAATAGATCAAACCATTGAAACTTCAACAACACTTCCTGCACATGTATGAGCAGCTTGGGAATATCTAATTCAAAATTAATTAAAATCCATAAACCCGTTTTTGAGTTCTGAATGTATGACTTGTACACTCACATTTGAAATGAAATAGCCCCTTTCTCAATTACGAGAATGTTCAAACACCAGAAACATATAGAGCTCAAATATGTTCATGGATTGTAACTCTGTAAATGGTTCTGGAAATGACATACACGCACCATTCAAATAACTTGTCTTAAGAAAGAACTGTTGAAATGTCCAGACATGTAAAATGTTTTCTTTTTAAACGTCCAGCACCCAATACGTGACTCGATGTGCTTTCCCTCGATTCCCTCTTTCGATCTGAATAGCTTAAAGAAGTCTTAGAACGAAACATAGAACTGCTTAGGACTTACCTGAAACGTGCACTACACATGTATTCAGCAGCAGCACTATACATGTATTCAGCATAGTGGTGATAAGCACGACATTCATCTGTAATGAAAATCAGAATTTTCGTGAATATTATTCCAAAGACTTTATTTCGTATATCACATTACCATAAGCAGACACACGGGTATTTTACTATAGTGACCCATCCAGTTTTGTGAGAGAGAATGACAAATGATAAAAAAGTTTATCATGTAAAAGGTAGATGAAGGCATTTTTTCTACAATATATACAGAACGGGGATGAGAGATATGCTTGGTTTTGTCGCGCTTTTATGTATTTTAGAGGAAAATGGGGCGGGGGTACTTTCAAAGAATAGGGCGGGGGTGCATACCATATAGCTAGTTCGCACACCTACCTGGTGAAAATGAACAAATTTTGTTTCGCAGAAACGTTTCAGTGAATGAAAAGGGTAAGGGAAATCATGCGGCGCAAAATAAAAAAAGTGTAATGTGTAAAATTACCATTAAGAAAAACAGCTATGTGGATGATTTGTTTCCTCCATACAACTTATTTGCTTTTTATTTACGCCAACGCCAGGGCCAAGAACACTTTTCCATAGGCCTTTTAAGTTCAATAGTCCAAAAAATGAAATATTTATCTTTAATAGGCACGTCACATTGTAACATACTCCGATGAAAATATGAAATGTAGAAAACACCACAAGCTCCTGCCCATTCAGGTATCCTAAAATTGTATGCAACGCTTAAGGGTATTGTAAGCCTTTATTATCATCCACATTATCATCCAAATACATGCAATCTATTTTGTGCTGTATTCGCAAATAAATAAAAATCCCCTCAAAAATAAAAAGTGTCGGCGTTTATATTTCTCGTTGCAATGTATAAGCATAGGCAACTCAGAGCTTTAATCGTCAGTTTAACACCTCTCTATTTTGAGGTGAGATAGCGGAATGGGGCGCAGCTTCATCTCTCAACAAGATTTCATCACAAAAATTGGCATAGTTGACCACTAGTGTATGGGCCAGAATCTTGTGCCGTCATTTTGGATTAAGTGTTTTGTTTTGGAGTTAAGAGATTACAGATTACAATTACAGATGTTCATTAAACAAAGGTATTATTTTGCTTTATAAAGAATGAACTCTGAACTAAGGCCTTTAAAGAAAAACCGTTGGCAGGATTTTGGAGTACTGAATGGTGTCATTAAATTGGCGTTTAGACGGTGTTCGTGGGTGCTCAGGTAAAAGAAAAATTTGAAAAACCGATTTTTCTATTTTTACGCCAAAATCACAATAAGATGACAACCATAAGATGACATGTGTGTAAATGTTAATTAATTTAGCCTCTGAACAAAGAAGATGTATCTATTATCCAAAAGCATACATGTAAGTCAATAACCAATTAAGTTTTGTCAAAGGCTAACAATATTTCAAAGAAACAAATGACATTTTATACTTAATGATTTCACAGTTAGCCGTTTTTTATTGTTTGATTTTTACCTACCGTCTTTTGATTTGACTTCCAGCAACAAATAGTCTTCGGTTTGCTCAGTCCTTTCAATTGAACGTTTTCCTTTTTTTCTAACACCAAAGTGTACCTCTTTCCATGGTATTAATTTTCCCTTAATTTTTTCTTAACTGTTGTGGTTAGACACGGGAAGGTCACCAATCTTGAATGAACATCTAACACGGTGTGGCCAACTTCGTGTTTTAATTCAAAAGATGAATTTAATGACATATCGTTATATTCACAAAACCAAATGAAAAGGAACACAACGAAAAGGAAGACAAAATCGAACTGATATGCATTTGAATCAATTAACTCAACACTCTGTTGGTTTTTCTGAAAATGATTTTACCATTGTAATTATTTTCACCAGGAGATGGGCATCAACTGTTCCATTTCAAGTACAGAAAAATAAGAAATTTTGTTTATCCAAAGACTATGTTTGATCTATCCATCAAAGCGGTGCCTGAAAAACAATGCCGGGATCCATTCCCAGGATGGCTCACTTAAGAGCTGATCAATACGCCCAGAGAGGACGGGGCGGGCGTGTACGCATCTAGGGTTAACGCCATAAAATATTACCTTCTGTAATGAAAATTTGTATACTTATGTAATGCCTTTTTATAAAGCGCATAACGCAATCCGAAATTCCACGATTCGTGTCAGATTTACGTAAAGTCGCGCCAAGAAAACCAAATGTACGTTATGGTAATGACAAGTTAAATGGTTTATTTGTTGACGCTCGCTAACTACATGATCTACGTGAAGTCTCCAACTTCTGAACCATCTCCCATAACTGGCGTCCGTCTTCTTAGTTCTCCCAAGCGGTCTCTCTAAATCTGATCTCCCAGATATAAATCTGAACGTCTTATATCCAAATTCTTTATCTAAGGTGGATTCATTGCTGCACTATTGCGCGGTGCATACAAAGCTTAATTACTCAAATTGCACACGTACACTTGCGTTACTTCACATCCACTTCTAAAATTAATTTACAAGTCTGGGGTTTATGTTTGTGCACTTAACATTTTGAGACAAGCAAGAAACAGTGAGTGGAAATTAATTACTACACACGCATTGTGGCATTGTTATGATTGTCCACAAAAACATAGCCCTTTAAGGATTATTATGTGTAAAAATCGAAAAAAAGCACTGGGAAAAAATTAACTCGTTTAGGATAATAAACGATACATACATGTAAACAGTATTATGTAAGAAGAACTTGAAATTGGGAAATAGTAGAAAAGCCTAAAGGACAAGGACAGTGGGCAAGTTCGTTTTCATTGACGTGTTTCTTCCTTTTTTCAGTTCCCAACAGTTGGCGTCACAGTATTGAATGCATGCTCTTAATATTAGGTACGTGATTTTGAATCTTTGATTTATCGTTACAGACACACACGAGCCATTCCACCGGATGCC